GGGGGGCCCCAGTGTTCAGTGTGATGGTGCTGGATGTGTTACTGCCGACCCGGACTGCCTGAGGTCTCCCAGTCAGGAAGTCCAATAGCCAGTTGCACAGTGAAGTGTTGAGCCCCAGCTGGATCAGTTTGTGAATGAGCTGTTGAGGGATGATTGTGTTGAATGCTGAACTGAAGTCTATGAACAGCATTCTGACATACGTCCAGATGTGTGAGTGCTGAGTGGAGGGTAGTGACGATGGCGTCATCGGTCGAGCGGTTGGACCGATATGCAAACTGGAAGGGGTCCAGGGAGGGGGGGGGGACTTGACGGGGGGCATGACTAGCCGTTCAAAGCACTTCATGAGAATAGGAGTAAGTGCAACTGGACAGTAGTCATTGAAGCAGGATGGAGACGGCTTCTTCAGGACTGGAATGATGGTGGTAGCTTTGAAGCATGTCTTAGTGAGATGTTGAAAATCTCTGTGAAGACATCAATGAGTTCCACTGCACAGTCTCTCAGTACATGCCCAGGAATGTTGTCAGGACCCGGAGCTTTACGTGTGTTGATCCTGCTGAGGGATCTCCTCACGCTGTCTGGGGACAGCGTCATCACCTGGTCGCCGGGAGGAGGTGGAGTCTTCTGTGCAGTGGTGCTGTTTTGTGCCTCAAAGCGAGCGAAGAAGGCGTTCAGCTCGTTCAGCAGGGAGATGTTGCTGTCACAGGTCCGCGGTGGGGGCTTGTAGACCGTAATGGTCTGTATCCCCTGCCACAGGCATCGAGTGTCTCTGCTGTCGCTGAAACGATGGGCTATCCTCCAGGAGTACTGTCTTTTAGCCTCTCTGATGCCGCTGGATAGGTTGGCCCTAGCTGTCTTCAGGCCCACCTCATCTCCAGCTCTGAAGGCAGTGTTCAAAAAACACGAAAACACCGTTCTGACAGGAGAGAGAAAAGCCGCAGCGTGTGCACATGCCGCCATCTTTTTTCCATAATCATTCATCAGTATTAGTCATATTCTTACAATTAATGTGTATGTTAAGTAAAGGGGGACCATACTTTTGTGTGTGTGTATATATGGTATAGTGTATATATACACTAAAAAAGTGGGTCGCGGCTCGATGACCATGGGAAAATGTGGGTCCCATGGCCAAACCATTTGAGAACCACAGGTGTAAATAATACTACAAAAAAGTCATAAGAAGTCTCTTATGCTCAAAAATGATAAAAAAAAATACAGTAATATAGTGAAATATTATTACAATTTAAAATGTTTTCCATTTTCATATATTTAAAAATGTAATGTATTCCTGTGATGCAAAGCTGAATTTTTAGCATCATTACTCCAGTTTTCAGTGTCATGTGATCCTTCAGAAATCATTCTATGTTGATTTGCTGCTCAGTAAACTTTTCTTCTTATTATTAGCAGTTGTGCTGCTTCATATGTTTGTGAACACTGTGATACAGTATTTTGTTTTTTCAGGATTCTTTGATTAATATACTTTTAAATGGTGGTGTATATTCTTCAGGCTGATCCAGAAAATGCCTAGTCATATTTCACATCAAACAAACATGATTAAAAAAAAAGAAGCCAATTGGCTATTTAACTTAAAGGCCACGAGTTTTATTCCTACTTTCACTAAATTAAGCATTATGCTTTCTCTCATTAAGTTTCCTTTCATTAGTTTTGTCTCTGAAATGAAAGGACCAGCATATTTTATGTTTTGGATGCTGGTCGTCAGCATTGGATGCTGGTGCTCTTTTGTCTCAGCCAAGCTTCTTAACCATCATAACCAACAAGACTACCTTGATTAACCAGAAATACAATTCTAGTCTATCCATAGACCAGCCAAACCAGCACTAACCAGCAATGAAAATTCTTTCTAGTTTTATATGGTCTAAAAACCAGGGGCACTGTAAACATGTTATTGGTCTATTCTGTAATGATTGTAATGGAAGTTTGTTGTTTTCAATAGTGAAAAGATTAATGAGGGATGACCACAAAATAAGCAGAAGTGATAATGAGGCCAGGCACCAAACTGGGTCATATTAGTCAATCTCAATATGACTTGCATTTCATCATAATTAGGCTCACAATGAGGGGGAAATTGACTCGGCTGATGTTTGAATAACTCTTTTTCTTCAGTGAAATATGATCGATCCAATGTTTCAGCTCCTTTTAAAATAGATAAATGCATGTCAATGTGTATTTGAGAATGTGTTCAATATACGTAAATTTCTGGAGTCTTCTGAGGTTTTTCCAAAACCATTCTTATTATAGGCAACAAGAGAAGTAGTGTTATTTTAGTATTATTTATATTCTATTTTATTATTTTGAATGAGATTTTATTTTTTATATTTTCAGTGTTTGATTTTTTTATTTAATTTATAGTAACTTTTGTCATGTTTTTATTTGTATATGTATATTTAGCTTTATTGTTATTTCAGTTTTACTTCAGACTATTTTATTTTAGTTAGTTGCCAAGGCAACATTTGTTATATCCGTTTGGTTTTCATCTAATATTTATGTTTTATTTTATTTCAGCATTATTTCAATTAATGAAAATAATTTTTAGTTTCAGTTTTAAGTAAGACTGTAGAGAAAAGAACCTTTCAGAGGTCTTCAATGTCTTCACCGTAGTAGTAAACCAAGATTTTAGTTGTGTTGTGTATATGGTAAATTGTTGTTAAATGGGTTGTTTGTGGTGTTCAGTGTGTGATGGTATAGGCACCGGCAGTCTTCAAACGGCTCAAACTGTGGATTCCAGCAACATTGATAAGTTTGTCAATTGCACCAAGATCAATGGCAACCTCATTTTCCTCATCACAGGCATCAAAGGGTGAGTCCAGTCTATGTATCTACTGTATGCATGGCCTATAGATCCTTCAGACTTAAAGCTTTGTCTGCACTTTTAAAGAACCTTTTTCACACTAAAGTTCAAAGATTGTCAATTTTCCTTAAATACAGTGGCATGCGAAAATTTGGGAACCCCTTGCAGAATCTGTAAAAAATGTGAATAATTTTAACAAAATAAGAGAGATCATACAAAATACATGTTATTTTTTATTTAGTGCTGTCCTGAGTAAGATATTTTACATAAAATATGTTTACATTACTCCACAAGAAAAAAAAAAAAGCATATTAAAACAGCCCGATTCAAAAGTTTGGGAACCCTTGGTTCTTAATACTGTGTGTGGTTACCTGGATGATCCGCGACTGTTTTTTTTTTTTTTGTGATGGTTGTTCACGAGTCCCATGTTTGTTCTGAACAGTTAAACTGAGTACTGTTCTTCAGAAAAAAATCTTCCAGATCCTGCAGATTCTTCAGTTTTCCAGTATCTTTTGCATATTTGAACCTTTTCCAGCAGTGACGGTATGATTTTGAGATCCATCTTTTCACACTGATGACAATTGAGAGACTCAAACACAACTGTTAGAAAAGGTTCAAACATTCACTGATGCTCCAGAAGGCAACACGATGCATTAAAGGGGTCATATGACGTTTTCTAAAAAGAACATTATTTTGTGTATTTGGTGTAATGCAATGTGTTTATGCGGTTTAAGGTTCAAAAACACATTATTTTCCACATAATGTACATTATTGTTTCTCCTCTATGCCCCGCCTTTCTGAAATGCGTCGATTTTTACAAAGCTCATCGTTCCGAAAAGCGAGGTGTGCTCTGATTGGCCAGCTATCCAGTGTGTTGCGATTGGCTGAATACCTCAAGCGTGTGATGGAAATGTTACACTCTTTACCATACTGTGATGCTGTGTCCCGGCGCGACGACACAAAACCAATAAAACCCATTATAAACAAGGCATTTGTTGCATCCAGTGGGGACATAATTACTGATTATAATGACTTATACTGTCTTTTTACGCGTTGTGTAACGCGCTGCATAAACATAAAACCATGTCTGCATTTGTGATCGGAGAAACGACAAATAACAAGCGCTACTCTACACTGCTGAAAATTCGCGTTTGAATCGTCAATGACAAATTCTTTAAATATGAAAACGTACTTACAGGCTGTGAGTCAGAAGCGCCAGACTGTCCTTGCAAAGTTGGAATTGCCCCACTTCATAGAAACAGACACCGGCATTGTAGGCTACTCTCCCAGGAAACAGTCCACGTCCTCCATAAAATGTGCAGCACACATCTAAATATTTGGGTTGAACTGTTCCGGAACATTGTTGTAAATACAACTTAACCACTGATTTCTAGTTGTGTCCTCTTTTGGAAGGCCAAACAAAGTAATTTTGCTTTCATAACGAAACACACAGTTTCTCCACAACATGGAGGCTGCAGCAACAATACTACAGCCATAATCAAAGTTATGCCTTCTTTCTTTGCGTGAACATTTGGGCGGTGTTATGCAAACCTTCCCACATCGTGACGTAGACATGTGGGGGCGTGTTAGAATGAGCGGTTTTAGGTAGGAATGGTGGACTAAGAATATCTCTTTGGATTTGAGACTTTAGTCTTTGCAACTTTACATATCTTCTTTATGCACCAAGAGCTTGTAACACTTCAAAGAGAAAGGAAAAATTGAAATTGCATCATATGACCCCTTTAAGAGCCGGGGGGTTAAAACTTTTGAACAGGATGAGTATGTACACATTTGTATTATTTTGTTGAAATATATATATATATATTTTAGTACTTCCCTTCGGAAGCAACAGAAGATACTTGCATGTTTCCCGGAAGACAAATTCATTACAATTTACCTTGATCTTCAAATTCAAAACGTTTTTACCCCCGGCTCTTAATGCATCATGTTGCCTTCTGGACCATCAGTGAATGTTTGAACCTGTTTTTATAGTTGTGTTTGAGTCCCTCAATTGTCCTCAGTGTGAAGAAATTGATCTCAAAATCATACAGTCACTGCTGGAAAGGGTTCAAATATGCAAAAGATGCTGGAAAACTGAAGAATCTGCAGGAGCTTCAGCTCAACTGTCTGCAAAGGCTCAAATGGGCCCTGCTGTAGTGCTCTGAGCACTAGAGACAGGTCCCAAGAGGGTATAGAGGGGGGCCGTGGAGGATTTAGCCTTCTCGCCCCCCTAAGGAACCTGATGATCAGGTCATGCTTCCCAACTGACTTCCCTTCCATGGGGTTGTGATTGGCAGCAATCGCAGCCACATAAACTTTAAGGGTGGAGGGAGACAGCCTTCACTCCAACCACTGCTGCAGAAAGGACAGCACGACCCTGATCAGACATTTCTGGGGGAAGAGGAGAAAAGCACCATTCGACGAACAGGTTCCACTTCAAGGCGTAAGCGTGTCTCGTAGACGGTGCTCTCGCCGAAGTGATGGTGTCAACTACCTCTTGGGGTAGGTCACCTAGAACCTCTGCGTCCCGTCCAGGGACCAGACATGAAGTTTTCAGAGGTCTGCATGCGGGTGCCACAGGGTGCCCCGTTTCTGAGTCAGTAGATCCTTCCTCAGAGGAATCTGGCTGTCACAAGGAGGGTGCTGTCACAAGGAGCATCAGTTCCGGGAACCAAGTCCGAGTGGGCCAGTAAGGTGCCACGAGCCGGACCTGCTCCTCGTCCTCCCTGATCTTGCACAGTGTCTGTGCAAGAAGGCTCACTGGGGGAAACACATACTTACGAAGGCCCCGCGGCAAACTGTGTGCCAATGTGTCCGTGCCAAGTGTTCCCTTGGTCAGGGAGTAGAACAACTGGCAGTGAGAGGTTTCTGGAGAGGCAAACATGTCTACCTGAGTGGTTCCGAAATGACTCCAAATCAGCTGGACCATCTGGGGATGGAGTCTCCATTCTCCCAGAAGCGCAGCTCGTGACAGCTCGTCGGATGCCCTGCTGTGCAGACCAGGAATGTGAATGGCACAAAGTGACCTGTGCAGTTGGGGGCCCATCCAAACCCCCGACACTGCAAGCCCGTTGAACGTGGCCCCCCAGCCGGTGGTGGTGGCATCTGTGTAAACCACTGCATGCTAGGCTTGCCGCGATAGACGGTGTTGACGGTGATACACATACTTTAAGCCGTTGTTAAGCCGCAACACCAGTTACGTCACTTGCCCATCGCGTCACCGACCCCCACCGTCATTTTGATTTTTTTATAGTAATAAAAATAATTTAGTTCAGTAAAAGAACAGACACTACAATTAAAAACTGAACGCGGCTGCTCAATGGAGCGTGCCGAACGACAGTCGCATCACAGATCAAATTTAATTTCTCCAGTGAGGAGAGTGAGTCGAGCTGACTGACAAGAAGAGTGGGGTGAGACAGACAAGACAATCGCGGATGATTTAGTTTCGAAACGAGATGCAAAAGTGCCTGTTTGGCGATATTTTGGATTTTGAAAAGTCTGCTGACTTTTGCCGTTTATCTAAGGTGATTTTGGAAGTTTTTTTAAACATTTGTTTGGTTCCACATTGTTTGCTGATTTTTACTTTATTTAAACTGTGTCATTTATTTATTTTATTTGACATTCGTTTTGCTAATAAACGTTCTACATTTCTTATTTATTTGGTTATATATTATACATGTTTACTTATTTCCAGTTTTGTATACCTATTAAACTTTATGTAAGTTATTTGTTATTTTATATTAGGCATAGCTTGCGCTATAGCATGGTGTATTTTTATTTGTTTTGTTAATAAAAGTTATATGTTTTATATATAGGCTAAAGTGAGTTTGACGTTGTATTTTGTTGTTGCATTCAAGCAATTGACGCCAAACTGCCGTTAATTCAAAAGTGAAAGTAAAATGCGCACGGCGCTTTTAAAGTTATTTAAAAGAGAAGGAAAGCGAGGAAAAGAGGGAAAATTCAAACGAACAATTGCTTTACTCCGAATTGCTGCTATTTGAAAGTTAAAGTAAAATGGGCACACAACTTTTACAAGCCGGTGTGACTCAGACCCGATAAGTGCCGCGTTGCCACGTCCATCTCAGGAGTTGGCCACGGAGTCTGTGTTAAAGCGGTCTCATATGAAGCAGCCCCAGCAGCGTGACTGCCACTGTAGCTGCCATATGCCCCAGGAGCCTCTGAAACGGTTTCAGTGGGACCGCCATCCTACACTTGAACATATTCAGGCAGTTCAACACCGACTGAGCACGTCCTTGCATGAGGCGTGCTCGACCGAATCCAACTCCATACCGAGAAAAGAGATCCACTGCACCAAGGAGAGTTTGCTCTTTTCCCAGTTGACCTAAAGGCCTAACCGGCTTGTGTGCACAATTCCCTGTGTGCACACAATTGATCCTGAGACTGAGCTAGTATGAGCCAGTCATCGAGGTAGTTGAGAATGCGAATGCCCTGTTCTCTCAGGGGAACAAGGGCTGCCTCCGCAACTTACGTGAAGACACGGGGCGACAGGAACAGCCCAGAAGGCAGGACCTCATACTGATATGCTCGTCCTTCAAACGCGAAATGCAGCAATGGTCTGTGGTGCAAAATTATTGACACATGCGGGTAAGTGTACGTACCCACGGTGGGGCAGCGAGGTGGAACGCAGGGACCTGAAGAGGGGTCTGAGTGTGCAGTGCAACACTTACCTGGTTCCACAGTTTGACAGAGGGTGCGTGAGTAGGGCCTTTGATGATAATCTCGAACCGCCCGCTGCTGCTTGCTGGCGAGAGAGGAGGATGAGTGTGGTCCGGTGTTTGTCTGTCCACGACTCTCCATGCCCTCTTGGAACCCAGAGACAGAGAAAACCACTCTCCTGTCGAGATTTTTGGAAACAAGATTCTCCACCCGGTCCTCCTCCGTGGGAGGGAGAGGTGCATTCACCATCCTCCAAAGAGCAGTTCCCTCTTTCTCTGGGTTGCCCGTCCCGAGGCCTCTTGCTCTTCCGCTCACCGCCAAGTTGACGGGGGGCCTGTACGGACGGTGCGGCCTGCCTACGCCCAGTTCCATGGCGCCGCTTGCTTGAGGCTGCTGCGGATGTGGCATTGGAGAGGGGTGGATGGAGGGGGCGAGCAGGCTGGGGCGCTGCAGCCGGCGGATGGGTGGAGGCAGCAGCTGCCCGCTGGGGCAGAACTTCGGATCGCCTCAGTCTGCTCCTGTGCAGCCGAGAACTGCTGGGCCATGTTCTCGACTGTGTCGCCGAAAAGGCCGGTCTGAGACCTTGAGGAACCTAACTTTTTTTCTTTTTTTTCTTTATTATTAGATTTTCCGCATGGAATATCAACTCAACAAATTACAACATTAATTTTATACAATTATTCTTCCATGTTATTACTAATACTACCCCACTAAATACTTCCCTCCGTTTTCCCGAGGAAAAAAATAAAACCCGGGGGTTAAAAAAAATTAATAAATAAATACATTTTAATAATAATAAAAAAAAAATTATGCTTTATATATTAATGCTCAGCTTAGGTATCAAGACAGTTAGCCAGCAGATAATCTAAAAAGGGGTGCCACACCTTGTCAAAGGTCTTTAACGAACCCGTGAGTGACAGTCTAATTTTTTCCAATTTAATGCAAGTAAACACTTATTTTAGCCATGTATCAAAGGAAGGGGGTGAGACGTGCTTTCACTTTAAAAGGATGAGACATCTTGCTAGTAAAGTAGTAAAGGCTAAAGCCTTTTGAACCGTTACTGAAAGGTTAACATCTACTGCCAACCCAAAAATGGCCAAAAGTGGATTTGTATCGATATCTATTTCGAAGGCATCTTTCAAAGTTTTAAATATTTTAGTCCAATAATCAAATAATTTAGGGCATTCCCACAACATGTGAATGAGGTCTGCTGGTGATTGCTTGCACCTATTACATGCATCGCTGACAGAGGGGTATAGTTTGGCAAGTCTAGCATTAGTATAGTAAACCCTATGCAGAATCTTACATTGTATAAGCCCATGCCTTGCGCATATAGATGAGGTGGGAGTGAGCTCAAGAATACGCTCCCAGTGTCCATCAGATAACTCAAATCCCAAACTCGCTTCCCAAGCTCCTCTGGCCTGATTTGCAGTGCCTGAATTAATATTGTGAATCAGATTATAAATGACAGAAATACAATGTTTTGAGTATAGTTCAAGCTTTAAGAAGTCATCCAATGGAGATTCAGGGGGACGATTTGGAAAATGAGGGAATCGTTTTTGCACAAAGTGCCTGACTTGAAAGAAACTAAATAAGTGGGAATTAGGTAAATCAAATCTCTTAGAAAGGTTATTAAAGGATGAGAAAATACCGCTCTCATAGAGATCATCAATGGTCTTTATGCCCTTATTGAACCATATTCGGAATGCCTCATTCATAATGGATGGCGCAAAACAGTGGTTTTTGAAAATCTGAGAAAGTATAGAAGACCTATTCAAACCAGTGTGCTTCCTAAATTGAGTCCATATCTTAACTGAGTGAGATACTACTACATTTGAACAAAAATTGGCAGGTAAAGGTAATTGAGAGGATATGACAGAGTTCAGAGAGAGGCACGCTGAGGACTGTTCTAGGTAAGCCCAACAAGGGAGTTCAGAGGAATCGAACTTTGTCGGCGTCCCTCATGTCGACCAGACACAACCAGAGGTGATGCTCCTGGACCACAAGTGCGATGGTCCCCTGAGGGTTGGTTCCCTGGAGGGTTTGCCATCACTGGTACCCACAGACTGCCCATGCTACTGCCTGAAGTAGCCCCTGCCTGACTGCCGCCATGACGAGAACTAAATCGAGGCAGAGGCAATGGAGCTCTGCCCCTTTGAGGTAACGGAGCTTGGCCCGCAACTCCGAGATGATCATCTTCCCGCAATGAGAACATGACTCATCCACAAATGCCACCTCAGCGTGCTTAATGCCCAGACACGTGAAGCAGCGATCGTGACCTTCACCCAGCGCCAGGTAACGACCGCATCAGAAATGTCCGGGTGATACGTTGTCTATAGCAAGACCCACATCGTCTTTACAAAGATGTAACGTCGAGTTTGCCAGATGCAATGTCATCTTTAAAAAGACGCACACGTGAATGCTCTTTCAGGGAAAAAGCTATTTTAGCGTGCAGAAGCGCACAGGGGAGATGGCCACCTGCAACACAAACAGGGGGTAGTGCAGCCTGATGTGTGCAACCCACTCGACACGGAAAACCACCACCGCTGAAGAGCTGTACAGCCAACATGGAGAGCTCTCAAAGAGCGCGCTGAACTCGTTCAGTCTTCTTCTCTCAGTAGAGCAGTCAGGAGCAAAATGATGTGATCGCTCGGCTCCGAAGCAACAAGCTGAATATGTGCTGCACCTGCTGCCTATACTCACGCTGGGATGAGCAGCAGCTGGATGCAATAATTGCATGCCAATGTGCATTGGCTCGTTTAGTTTACACTCGAAGTGGATTCGTCTCTCTAAGCGAGATCCTAATCGTCGGTCATCCGACGTGACGTCGAGAGTGACAGACTGAAAGGGAACTAGTGATGTCCTGCGGCCACAGATGTGCTGAAGTCATTCAAAGCAAGGGTCTCTACACTTTCTACTAATTTCTGACAGCTGTAACCCTCCAAAATTTTAGTTGTGATCTTCTTTCGTGCTGCAGTGGTTACTGTTCTCTAATTTTGATCACTGTGTTTTCCACAAAATAAAGGCTTTTGTTGAAATGTCTTGGATATTTTGTTCAACATATTAGTTGAACAATGGTATACCCACAGCTGATATTCCTTCAAATTTGAGCGATGAAGATTAACAATATTTCAGAAAAAAAAAAAAAAGTATTTAAAGATTGTTCTCTAATTTTGATCACTGTGTTTTCCACAAAATAAAGGCTTTTGTTGAAATGTCTTGGATATTTTGTTCAACATATTAGTTGAACAATGGTATACCCACAGCTGATATTCCTTCAAATTTGAGCGATGAAGATTAACAATATTTCAGAAAAAAAAAAAAAAGTATTTAAAGATTGTTCTCTAATTTTGATCTCCACTGTATAAGAAATTGATTTTTTATTTAAAATAATGTTTAAGATAATATTTAAAACAATAATATAATACAATAATATAATACAATACATTATAATGTATAT